AGCCTGGGAGAGGTGGCTCATGACTTGCTGGTCTGAGCATGCCTGTGCTGAGAGAGGTGTTAAGACATGGTACTGTCCTCCACACTTCTTGTGGGGTTTGGCACCTCCTGCTTCTCCCTTGCCTCCCTGCGCTGCCCGTCACTGTGAGTGACAGTCCTCAGCAGGCAAGCGGAGTATAAGAGGGAGACAGCTCCATGCCTTGGACTGCCAGAAGGATCTCTGAACTTTAGGTCACATTTTCCCTGCTCAGTGTATTTGCTAAGGGAAAAACTTCTTCCTGGAATGGCTGATGGGTAAGAGAAAATCATACTAATTCTTCTATCGCGCGAAGGGCAGTGGGGATGGGATATATTCATCTGGGAGATGTGTAAAAGGGAGTCATGTGAAATGCAGCACAGCAGCAACTCTGCTTCCTGTTCCTGTTCTGTTTTACTAAAGCACCCCAGCATCGAAAGTTGGTGAGATGACTGAATTGTAAGCTGTTTTAGCTAAAATAAGGTGATGCTAAGATCAGTTTTTGCTTAAACATAGGTGATTACGTAGAATCAGTTCTCCAAACAGCACCTGCCTGCCCAGGACCTTGACAGAGTGTTTGCCGAGTAACTGCCCACTCCTATGTTTGTCCCTTGACACTGCATTTTCCTTTCTGCCTGCAAAAACTGCTTTATTTACCCTTTGGTATTTCAAATACCAACACTAAGAAAAACGTCACTGGACTCAAGTAAAAGACATACACACTGGCATAGGAGGAAAATTGAGAGAAGTGCTTGTATCTTCTATTAACCATATAAGCTAATGCATATCTATCACAACATTCGAACCAATTTTTTTAAATGATTGGAAACTCCTTGTACACAGCTGCTCATCAGGCTTTCCAAATGCTTTTCTTCTCTATGCCAAGAATAAAGGCTTTTTAAAAATTGGATGTTGTTCAAAGGATCTCTAAAGGTAAATTTACTTTAAGGAAGGTGTTCAGTCAAACCTTCTTTGCAGGGCTCCACGTGATCCGTTTGCAATACGTGTTTTTCTTGCTTTGACACTGTTGACTTGCTGACATGATTCACCTGAGTGTCTTCATGTCTTGAGTCACTTCTAATTTATAGCAATAAAAGACTTCTTCTTCAGGCGTTGTTTTGGATAGAATGAAGGTTTCATACAAGAAAATAATTTGGAAAAACAGGCACACCATGTGAATGTTGCACTTGAAAGCTATAATAAAACAGAGATGTGAGATTCTTTTGCTCTAGCTGCACTGCTGGTACTAGTGTAGTAGAGTTACTACTGCAAAAAGCCTTCCCCGAAAGTTTTCTCAGGTCTTACAAGTGCAGCCTAAATGTTCTTGTTATTGGGGTGGTGCTTTATGCACGCAAGCACATCCAAGCAAGACTCCAACTGGACAAAATCCAATTGGCCAGACTTCTTGCACAGAAATAATTCTGTGTGAAAGCACAAATCTAATAACTGAGAGATTTCACCATAGGGAGGGGACTGAGAATTAATGATAAAAACCTCTCTTTTGAATCATACATGCAATCGTATTGAAAACCAGAGAGTAAATACACAATACTCTCTTCCAGGAAAACCTTACCTAAACGCTGCATATCATGGATTTGCGTGAAGGTGTTGGGCTGCTTCACTTTGAAGTTGTCTCACCTCATACATGTAAGCTAAGTTTACAGACCTTTTTTAATGAAATACTGGCCAGAAAGAATTTTTACAAGATGACTATGTAAGTTGCTAAACAAGTTCTTTGCTTTGGCAGGGATATATTTTTCTTTATCCTAATCTTCAGTCACAATGTATACAGGTGCTCTGCCATGTTTGAAAACTAAAGGGACAACAAAAAGGAGAAGAAAAGTCCATGATGATATTGTGGTAGCACCCAGCAGAGAAAAAGGAGAGAACAGGCTTGTATTTTATAAAATTAAGTGACTTTAGAGCTTTGGGACATGTTTTCTGAATGCAGGAATACATTTAGTAGCAGTATATTTATTAAATAAATATGAGGATTGAAATCTGTTGGTACGCTCTTGAGTACCAGTCCTCTCCTGAGTACACACCTTGAGCTTGCCTCCAGGAGCTCATGCAATATTCCACAACATTTCTAGAGGAGGAAAGATCAAACAGAGCCCTACAGTCCTTTACAAACACAGGACAAATCTGCTGAGAGCAGACCAAGAGCAAGCAGTAGGTATTGAAGGGATGACAGATTTCCTGTATAGGTGACTTTTACCAAAACACACACATGCTAAAATATCTGTATATAAAATACTACATATAGGGAACAAAATATTAAAAACAGCCCCTGACATTCCCCCTAATATTTCACATACCTTGGATGTCCAACAGACCACAGACTTCTATCTGCCACTGGTAGTTATTTCCAAAGTAAAAGCTGTATTAAACATAATATGTTGGTACTCAAACAGATGGGATAGGCTGATGCAGAGGAGTAGACAGCAGGAGGGTCCAGAACCCAGGAGAAAAGTGAGCCAATAAAATTAGGCCAGTCCAAGGTGACATGAATGTAGATGGTGCTTGAAGTTTGAAAAACATCTCCGGTACTGTTCTGTGAATTTGCCGATCCTCTTCTTGGGACTTCAGCTGAGCTGGTGAGATGAACAATTTTCTGTTTAGTGTTGGTTTGTAAACTCTTTTGAGAAGGAATTGCTCTTTTTAAGACACTGGTAAGAATGTGGAGGTATGGCTGAAAATAAATAAAGATGCTGCTGTTGGTGGCTTCCGTGATAGGCCATGAGCCAAACTGAAGTTGAGCAGGTGCCTCCTTTGGGCTGTACAGCCAGTAAAGTGATGCCACAAGCCACACTTCTGCTGTATAAGCAGAGCCTGGGGTTCAGGCAAGGGCTGAATATAGCTCCTCTGAGACAGCTTCCTTCTGCTCCACTGTAAGATCCATGCAAGTACTTGTTCCAAGCAAAAATCTTCCTTCATATTCGTGTTTAACCCTAGCAACAAACATAACCTTTGGCTCCCATATACTAGAATTTTTAGTCCTTTTCCTCCTTTCAGGTATTGACACCTATTCAAGTCCGGTTCAAAATTCAAGTGATCTTGTAGACTTCCCATCAACAATGATCTCAAAGTATCACAGAGCCTGAGCGAAAACCAACTGTCAGTGCCTCTAGCGTAGCTGAGGTACATGACGGCTCAGATTCCCAGCTCCAGGCAGGCTGAGGTGTGGCAGCCAAAGTAGTTATGGTTGTCTGCCCTGCCTTTCCACGGGACATTGCTTTCCCCACTCTAAATAATGCTGCCTATAGTATGAATATCATATATGTTCTTTATGCTCCTCAGCTGCTGCAGTTCATGTAAATTCATGCAGTTTACGAATGCTCCTCTGGTGCATTCATGTAAGCTGGCTGCTTTTGGCTCTTAACTCAGGGATACAAATTCCTCTGGGCAAGAAGCTCTCAAAGAGTTAAGCACAGACTGCTTATGCTTTTCAGAACGTTAATCGTAGGCTGTGTAAGCTCCATCCCACAGTTACACAGACAATTCTGGAGAAAAATGATTGCTCAATAACGTGAAAAAAAAAGTCCCAGTTCCAGTTTGCTACTTTCTGTTTCCTTCAATGGCGAGCTTAGACTAGCAGTTTCTGAGCCAGCCACCAAGTGCAGTCCAGGACAGGAGAAGGCACCTAAAATCTTGCTGTACTGCTTCTAGACTAATCTCCCGCTGTTTGATTAATTCCCTCTTTTCTGCTATGACTTCTATTCCCTCCCTGCCAACAACGGGGCAGGTTGCCCGCCTGGCTCACTTTTTGCTCTTCCTTGCTCTCAAGCTCCTCACATCAAGGCTGCCAACGCCAGAAGACTGTTTGTGACCTTACCACAGTATTTGTTTTCTCTTTCTGCTAGAGAGCGTGGAATTTGCCACTGGCTGGAGGATGCAGTGAGTCTCTCCATCCTGGCCAGAAGAGAAGACATAACAGTAATCAGTTAGGAGGTTCAGAGTTGGGCTTGAAGGTGCCTTGGTTCAGTCTGGGAGAACCACTTGTTAAAATCATGGCAAGTTGCCCAAATGGCTATTTTAAAGAAATTCCCATTCTTGACAAAATTCTGCACTTTTTTTTTTTTTTTTTTTTTTTTTTTTTGAGAGCATCTGCTTTGGAGGAGAAATTCAAAATTATCAAGTGATTCCTCTCTGGGCTTTGATGCATGTGCTGGTTTGTGACTGGTTAATTCAACTGTCAGTCATTCAAAGATTAATCCACTTCTCTTTCTTCTCCACTCTGTTCTTTGTCTTGATCTTATGTGTTAGTGTGGACATAATGCCCTTGAAACTGGAGCTACCTTTGGGCGGCTCATCACAATAACAACCCCTTCCTAAATCTTGCTGATAGATGTCTGGATAGACTTCTGAAAACTATACACTATTGTGCAGGACAACATTCCATTAAAATGAGGAAAGGACCAGCCTTGGTAGGTTTGTATGTGCATCAGAGATCAGTACATGAGATAATTTTATTGTATGCAGATCCTGTGTTTAGACTCCTAGTCATCCTTCATCACGCTAACTTGATGCTAGGATAATCATGTGCATGGGCGAAGGAAAGCATCTCTAGTGTGGAGTCTTGCAGGATAAGATTGACCCTAGACAAGCATCATAGAGAGAATTCTTTGCTTCCTTTTTTGTTGTGTAGTGTTGCTGCACGTTGATAACAATTTCATGCTTGCCTCTGGTTTGTACACCAAATCCTCCTGAATGAAACACCACCATCTTCATTTTTATTTCAGTGCATGGAAAACTGCATGAAGGCTCATTAACAAGAACTTTGTTAAAATATACTTTAAAATAACCTTAAGGAAGGTTCAAGTTTCCTTACAGGTTACCTCCATTCTTCAGATATGAACATGAGCTGTAAGCTCTGTGGTTTTTAGAGCAGCACTGACAGGAAGGTGTGGGGAGAAGAGAAAGCTCTCCTGATGAACAAGCTAATATCCAGAACAGAGAGTGACATTACAAGACTCTAGAAGTGACTTGAAGAAATAACAGCATGTGTATTTTTTAATGTGCATTTCTCTGGATTTCTTGACAGGAAGGCCTTAAATCATGAACTTTCTAAACTTTTCAACAAGATGTGGGACATGGATGTTAACCGCCTTATGCCTGGGAAAGACTACACAATTGATTTGCAGGTAACCAATTCCTAAGTACATGAGGATTAAGGGCAGTATGGTACTGTAGGAAAAGGTGTCTGCAGAACTGCCTTTTGCTCAAACAGTTGCTTATGCTTCATCATTTCCACTAATGGCATAGGCAGGACTTCCTAATGACAAAGAATCATGTAGGAGAGGGAATCACGTAGAAGAGGGAACAGTACAGAGAACACATTAATGGTCCACACTACCTGGACATTCGTTACAAGTAGAGTCTCTTAGGTATCTGTCTTGGGTCCTATAACATTTAAGATCTTTATCAGTGGCCTGGAGGAGGAGATGGAGTATAACCCTTCCAATTTTGCAGATGACAGCAACCTGTGGTGATGAAGTTGGTATGCTCAACTGCAGGGCTTCTCTTCAGCTGGACCTAGGCAGGCTGGAGGAATGGGCTAAGGAAAGAACATCTTGAAATTCAACAAGGACAAATGCAACCAGAATAAGATAACCAGAGAAGCTGTGAAATATCCATGTCTGGAGGTTTTCAAGACCCAACAAGATGACACCCTGAGCAATATGGTCTGAATTCAGTATGGACCATACTTTGAGCAGGACTAGAGATGTCCTGAGGTCCTCTCCACCCTGCATGTTTCTGTGTGTGTATGACTGCTTGTGTGTATAGTCTTGGTGACTTGCAAATGAGGGAGAAGGGGAGAGAGATGCCAAGTCATTCCTGGGGAAATAAGGGAGGAATCTGAGAGATTCCTGGGTCTTTCCTGGAGAGTGTGGAGTAGCAGAGGTGTGGGTGAGGAGGGTTTCAGAGATGTTGCTACCAGTCCCAGGAACTGTGAGGGAGGAGTGGGTATCACATTTGATGAGCAGCCATTTCACTCCTTGCCAGCTCAGTGTAGTGCAAACATGACCGTGTGTTTTGGCCACAGATTGCAGCGGGCCACTGAATATTCAGTATCCAATTTTGTACTCACTCACACAAGCACTCAAACACTTTATTTCAACATTGTTTCATATTGTAAGATAGATACAATTTTCTGTTACTGATAAACTTGAAAAAGGGGTACCTACCTCATGCCAAAATGTGTCTGGGGAAACCTTCTCCCATATGGTTTCTCCATTTCTCAGAACAAGGCTCTAGTTCCCCCTTGCCCCTGTTAACAAACTGCTACTCATCCGCAGTGGGTTGACCTTGGCTGGATGCCAGGTGCCACCAAGCCGCTCTATCACTCCCCTCCTCAGCAGGACAGGGCGGGGAGAAAATGAGATGAAAAAAAAGCCCCCGTGGGTCAAGATAAAGGCAGTTTAATAAAAGCAAAAGTGAAGGCTGCACGTGGAAGCAAAAGGAAAACAAGGATTTTATTCTCTACTTCCCATCAGCAGGTGATGGCCAGCCACTTCCCGGGAAGCAGCGGTTGCTCCGGAAGACAAACGTCATAAATAATGAATGCCCTCCCCCTTCCTCCTTCTTTCTCTTAGCTTTTACTGCTGAGCAGACATCATGTGGTATGGAAGAAATATCCCTTTGGTCAGTTTGGGTCAGGTGCCCTGGCTACGTTCCCTCCCAAGATCTTGCCCACTCCCAGCCTACTGGTGACGGGGAGGGGGAAATGTTGGTGAGACAGCCTTGATGCTGTGCCAGCACTGCTCAGCAGTAGCCAAAACACGGGAGTGTTATCAACACCTTTCCAGGTACTGATACAAAGCACAGCACTATGAGGGCTGCTATGGGGAAAGTTAACTCCATGTCAGTCAGACCCCCCCTTTCCTTGAGAATGCCCTTTTTGGAACAGAAATTTGAGAATTGTCAGGAAAGCCTCCTTTCTGTTTTAGATGTGCTTATTGGTAACATTGATTAAAATGCCCTTAAACGTGGCCAACCAGAAGTCTTTGGAAACTTCAGAGCATGAGGATGCACGAGTCCAAACCTGGTGGAGCTGCACAGAACTACTTTGGCATCTCCCTGGCACTGGAGTGATGGCTGGGGCTGCAGTCATGAAGTCAGAAAGAGAAAACAAAGGCTGGGCCTGAGGGGGCTTATTCAGGAGGTGGATTGCTTAAACGTTATCACGGAGGAGAGGAGAATTAGACTGGCTAGCTTGGGGAGTAGGGACACAGGAGAGAAACAACTCTGCTGCCCTGCATGGCCTCATAAAATATATGCAGTGGGTCTGTGGGTTACAAATGAACAGAGAAGGAAGGTGCACAAATCTCCTTCTTATATATTCATGGCGGGAGGGAGCATTGCCTCTACATTACCTCTCTTTATTATTTGTGATCTATACAGCATAGTAGCACAGCTGGTTGCTTGATCAAACTGAGCTATCACATGGGTCATCACAACCATCTCTGCAAATGACTCAACAGAGAAATTTCAGGCCCTTAAAGTGTCAGAGATTATGTCTTTTCTTTATGCTGTCAGTTCTTCTGTAACGTCTTCTCTTGTTTCACAGGAAGACCATTCCTAACAAAGAATCCTGATAGCATTATGGGATTTGATTATTATAACAGCGGGCACTGTCTCCTCTAAGGACATCTTCTTTCATTGTTTTACTCTGCTGTTTCTCCTAGGGCAAAGCAGGTGCCACACAGCAAGGTGACAGTGCTGTCCAGGACAGCGCAGCCAGACATCTGTTTCACAACGTAAATGAAGAACGCCTGAAGAGCATAAAAACTTTTGCAAGTGAGACCTGTTCTTTTGTTAATGGTGGGAATGACATGAAGAATCCATGTTGGGTTTTATGTGTTTGCCTAAAATATAACATGATATATAATATGGATGGTGGTGAGGATCATCAGGCCATGTGTCATTTGAAGGTAGTTTCCACAACATTTGCATGGAGGTTACCTGTAGCCTCGGCCTCAGGAAGAACATCCTTTTGTGCCTTAGCCAAAATCTTAATTTCTCTGTGGTTCTTCCACTACAAAGTGAAATGGATGAGACTCTTGTCATTGTTTGATGTTATTCCATGTATTGAAAAATATGCCAAAGTCATCTTTCTTCCTTTGCTCACAGTGTCTAGCCCTTTCAGATAGCACTCAGTCAAGAGCTACTTCTTGCATTTCTATTGGGGGCTATACTTCCAGCACGTCCAGAAACGTATGTTTCCTTCCATGATTTTTCTTATCCCTGGATAGCATTACATTAAGCTGATTGAACAGCCAGCATCATGGGGAGCACCGTTTTCCTCCATTCCCCCCCACACTCCTCTCTGAGCCACGCAATCCTGTGTCTAGTGAGGAGAGCTCTGGTACTTGCTGAACCCTCCACTGAGTCCCTTCAGCTCACTAACCCGGCAGGAAATGACTTAGGTTTTTGACCTCAAATATTTTTCTACCAGCTTGGTGTGCTGAATCAGACCCCAGAGCCCACTGAGTGTCAGAGCACGAGTAGATGAAGTAACGGGAGGGAGCAGGGGGCAAAAGGAGAAAATGAACCCATCCACTCGGTGGCCACATGCTCAAGCTCAAGCCATCTCATGCAGGTTTATGCCTGTACTGAAGTAATGCTCATAAAGTCTTCTGCCAGCATAGCTCACGTTCATAAGCCTATGTCTGTAGTTTTGGTGGTCAGATATGATTTGTTTTGGTAGAAGGTCATCACTGCTTCAGCACTTGGCTCCGTAAGGAAGCTCAGTAGCAAACTGAAGTAAAAAGTACAGCAGTGGTCTGGCCTTGAGTCAGCTCTAGACCTACACCCAACAGTATACCTGAGAATGAAATTTGACATACAAAGAAATGTCTTTCTCTAAGGGCTGTCAAGGCATATTATATGGTATCGGTTTATGATGGCAGTCTCTAATGACTGGATCACAGGTATGATTAGGCATATGGCCTGTTCATCAGGATGAGCGTGCTGAAAGTTGCTCTTTTTCTGCAGCTTTTATTTCCTTATTGGACAACTATGAGAGATCAACCGGTGTAGCAGAAGTAGTGACTCCAGGAGAAATAGCTGAAAACAATTGTTTTCTTGATGCTATCTTAGCGACAGAAGTCATGAAAGTGAGTAACAGATCTTTTTCAGTCACTAAAACACTGAATGAAAAAGTAAACTCTGTATATATATATATGTGTGTGTATATATACATATACCTTGGTTTTCTATCCTTCAGCTAGCTCATGAATATCTGCTTAAAAAAAACCTAGCAAAGCCAAAACTTGCCGATTTCAAACATCAGCTCTATGACATCTGGTTCCAGCTCTATGCCAGGAAAGAAGGAGACAGGTATGTTTGATGGATATGGCCCCTGGTAATCTCTACACACTTCTGACTCAGGTAAATATAAGCCCAAGTGCCACCTGTTACACACTGAACTGGAAGACAGCTTCAGCATATGGCCTAAATCATGTTAAAAGACTTACTGATCAAATACTAATAGGTACCCTTGGGGTACACCACTAGTGAATTGCCTCCAGCTGCACTTTATGTCCCTGACCACAGGCCTTCAACCGCAGACATTCATCCACTTCTCAGCCCACTGCATCATCCACTTTTCTGATCTGTATTTCATCAGTGAGGCTGTTATGGGAGACAGTATCAGAAGTCTTGCTAAAACCCAGGTAAGCAGCATGGATGCATCTGTGGCGTTTCCTAGCAAGGTTCACCATCAAATACAAATTTAAACTTAGTGGCTAGATTTCATTGCAAGTTTTGGGCAAAGTAAGAAAGAAAACTCAGCAAATCCAGACAAATAAAACAACTGCTCACAAATCAACCTAAGGAAGCTTGTGCATCTTCTTGCCTTTTACCTCTGCCAATTTGAACTATTTAAACACATAAAAGACCTATATCTTATTCTTTGGTTTATTACAGACCTGATTCTTGCGGCTTTGAACATGTTTTTGTTGGAGAAACAAGGCGTGGTAAACAGATCCTAGGTTTGCACAACTGGGTGCAATTTTACCTTCAGGAAAAGCTCAACCAAATTGACTACAAGGGATATGTTGCTCGGAAGAACAAAACCAGGGTAAGAACAAGCAGGGTGCCTTTGCAAATAAGACAAATGGACCCAGAGATAAAAGCTGTGGTAATGAATCAAGGCACAATGAGGCAATCATAGGCCCCACTGCTTTGAACCTCATTTGCCCAGGTTTATATAAGCAGAAGAAATACCAGCACACCCTCAAGTCCAGCTTCATTTTTTGCAAAAACTGTTTTAAAAAATAGTGCTGGTGTTTACAGAATCGCAACGCTGCCGAAGCTTAAGTGACATAAATGATCATGTACACTCCAAGGGACAGGGAAAAGGCTGTGCTCGACTTACAGCACCCTGGTATAGCAAGGATGACTGAATTCTGGAATGGCCTTAAAAATCTGGAGTCAGAAACTGTATCTGTTTGGTCACAGCTGTGTTGGAGATTATTCTGTTCTTTTGTTTATGCTTTCAGCCTGACCAAGATGACCAAGTTTTGAGCATCCAGTTCAGCTGGAAGGGCTCAGTCAAGCCAATTGGAAGCATCTTTATTGGTGTCAGCCCGGAGTTCGAATTTGCCCTTTACACCATCATTTTCCTGCTGGCTGAAGAAAGAGTCACACGTGAAACAGTGAAGATAGAGGAATATGAGCTACAGATGGTTGTTTGCCGCCATGGGCACCACATTGGAACAGCATATCCAGTACTCCTCAGCACCAGTAGTGAAGACTAGTACTTAGAGTGATAAGGCAACATTCTTTTTGGGGGAGGGAGGATGGGACCACACGGCACTGTAAGTTCATGTGTGGTTTTATATAACTCATTTTGAGTAAAAATTGATTACTTACTTTCGGTCTGCAATGGAGTGTTTAAGCAATAGCGTGCCATGGCTCAGTGTCTGACAAACCCTGAAACATACTGCTACTCCTGTTAAAGGCTGAATCAAACTTACATCAGCGTTCCTTCATGCATGACAACACCGTAATTTTCAGCAGATATTGGAATTCAGGAAAAGGCTATATTAAAATTTATACACATATTTCTCTTATTTGTTAGCTAGGGCATATGTGAAAGAGCAATAATACCCACATTGCTTATGTTTTGCCTTCAAGACAGGAACATAGATTTGGCAGCAGCACAACATAAGTATGGTTTTTTCTCCTCTCCTCATTGCAAAAGAGGTTAATTTCAAATGCATTCTTATAAATGCAGTGCCCTAGAACCACAGCAAACATTCAGATGTGAGAAAGGTCATCAGATCAACAGCAGGTTGCATCAGCTTTCCCCAGGTTTTCTAGAAGCCCCAGCAGGCTTCATCTCACCTAACTGAACTAAGTAACTAACAGTCCATGGTACAGGCACCGGTCTTCCCATTACAGGCAGCGATGCCTGCAGTCACTTATCTGCGTGTGTAATCTGCATTAGGCTTAGGCAAACGCATACTCCATTGACTAGATCCCCAGTGACAATAATAAGATATCACTGGGGACACTGGTCCTAGCCCTGGACCTGGTCACTGGTCCTTCTGCTGATGTGGACGTGTCTGCCCCTGTTCTTCCAAAAGGTGTTCAGTGCTCCAAGGAAAGGAAGGTAATGCTTTTTCTTCTCATAGCAATGCAGAAACAGGCAGACACTGAGACCCTCTGAGAACGTGACAAGCACGGGTTAGCTACTCACATGCCACAAGAATTTCTCCAAAAAAGCAAAGATTTTACTCACAGTGATAAAGGAATTGCTTTGGGGTATTGGTTTTCAGGAAAACCAACACAAAAGTCAGCCTATTGCTGTGGAATGTAAAACAGTAAAAAATATCATTTAAAATAAAATGGAAAACAAGAAAAAACTTTGCACTGAGCCGAACAGGGATTTAAAATCTTTTCCATTTCTTAAAGTGAGTTTCATATACTCACAGTCTCTCCCAAAACTTCACCAGCCGTTAGAATCTTTACCACCCAGGGAGTTTGGTCCTAAGCTCCTCCAAACCATGCCCTACAGCACTGTCCGGCATTTATTGACATACTCAGAAGCGTTACAGAGAGCAAGCCAAGGGTTCCTACGCCTGTTGAAATGACACGAGAGGCGTTTCAGGCCTGATACAATTGAGAGAACAGCAATAGGCAGCAACTGATAGGCACCCATGAAAAAGTTCACCCTTCCCTGCAGCATCAAGGGCTACTGAAGAACAACAAGAGAGTCCAAAACTCAGGTCCTGGTGTATACTTGAAGCACGTGGGATCTGAGGCAGATATCGGAAATGGTACAAAACGACTGCCTTGTCGCACAGAATACTGGCTCCGTGGGCTAGAAGCCAACTCTGCGGAAGGTGAAAGGCACTCTGTTTCCTTCACGTTGGGGAACGTCCCTGCAGCCAAGGGCCCACGGGTCACATTACAGGCCTCGACTGCCCTTCAGAGTCCCTCTTCATCTTTGTAGACGTGGCAGGGCAGAACTGAGAATACAGCTGGGCCAGAAAAGCCTGCGATGTGATCTCTAGCCGTGTCCCGTGGCTCAGTTTGTTCCACACATGCACCGCGTAGGTGTTCTTAAGGAGCCTGTGAAGCTCTGAGGAGTTGACCGTATCAAATAACTTCTTCCAGTCCCCCCAGAAAATCGGATAAAGGACTTCTGGGGAAAGAGCACGCACCCCTTTGCAGCTCATGTTGTTCTGGATATAACTGATGGGGCACCACTTCTTGAAGACACGCGTTAGGAGCTCTGGGCCCTGGTGGCCCCAGATCTGGCCGTTGTAGTTCTCCACAAAGTCCTTCATGCAAAGTTCCATGAACTCATGCTTGGGTTTGAAGGACAGAAAGGCCCCATTCAGTACATCCTGAGACTGGATACCCAGGGCATTGGTGAGGTTCTTCAAGTTCCTAAGCACAATGAAGTCTGTGTCCAGGTAGATGCCACCAAATTTCCACATGATGGTGATTCTGCAGGCATCAGACAGGACGGCTAAGAAATGCTCTTCCTTCTGGTGCTCGGACTGCAAGTACCACTTTGCCAGAGGCGTCCCTGAGAAAAGCTCCGGCAAGTCCAGGTGACGGAATTCCACATTGGGGAAGCAGCTCAGCAGCGAGAATGCCCAGTGGTTGGGTAATGAGGCATTCCCATTTGCCAGGCCTTTCATGAGCACCACAACCCTTGTCCCAGGGTGCGTCCGGGCCGCTGACTCCACAGAGCACGTGAACAGGTAGCTTGGGTCAGTTTTCTCCGAGGTCTCCACAAAAAACACATCCCCCGGGGAAGGAGGGGGCCCACCAGCAGTAGGATGGGGAAGGTAAGGCAAGAACTCAGCACATTTGCTTTGTGTATGGAAGCTGTACAGTTGGGCCTCAGCATCATTCCCAGTTCTCCAGTAGAACACAACAGAGGCAAAGAACACAAATGAAATGGTGAGGATAAACACAACCCCGAGCCTGTGGCTCGGCAGCACTGTGCTCAGTTTTGGCAGGCAGTTGGACATCCTAGGCAGTCTTGCTCCAGTCGGAGCCTGCTCTCCCAAGACAACCGTCGAGATCTGAAGGGGAGAAAAGAAGAAAAAGACACTCATGGGCAAGGCAGCAGACCGTGAGCCTTGGGACAGCGCCACGGCAGAAGAGAACTCTCCTTCCTTCACCTCAGGGCAGCATGCTTAAATGATGCCTTTTGGTCACTTCTGAAACAGGCTCCTGGCTTCTCTGTATTGTCAACAGGGCCTTCGGGTCAATGCACAACGGAGGGGGAAGCAGCCAGGAGGATTGTGGCATTTCCCCTGCCTCCCTCTGCTCCATCTCCAAACCCCCATGTTGCAGAACAGAGAGCTTCAGGAAGCAGCAAAAGCTTTAAGCTGTAACCAAGCGGCCAGGGAACAGGACAGAGAACCCAGCTGGCCCAATGCCATTTCTTATTCACGCTTGGTTACTGCAACTCAGTCACATATTGAACTCTCCATAAAGCCAGAAAATGACTTGTCAGCCTCACTGAGAGGTTTCCAACTGCAACAGCACGGAGCCACCGCTCTCCAGTAGGCACGGGAGCTTGGGGGACAGTGGAGATCAGCCGAATCACAAATCAGCAGCTCTGGATTCCCAGAACATTTTTTTCGCTTGCAGAGAAATGCCAGCATGTGCTGTGGGTGTTACAGGCAGCAAAAAAATGCCACTCTACTTTTTACCTACTTATTTCCCCCTCCCTCGACACCACAGCCAGTTGAACCCTGTAAATAATTTTTTAGCTTGGTTAGCTGTAGAAGAGAAAGCAAACACAGGCTTGAGCGGACAGAGCCTTCGCTGTGGAGAAGGCAGGGAAGCGCAGCTCTGATCTAAAAGTGAGCAAGCTTCAAGATTACATGCATATTTTTAGTAAGAGGAGGAACTTCTACTACAATCACACTTCTATATTTTTAGAAATACGTTTCTGCTTTTGTAGCGGATAAGAGGACATTTTAGACACTGCATTAGCCAGTCCATTTATTTCACGTAACAAACACAGGAAATCGGTCTCTCTGCTTTCCTCTGAAACTGCAAGTCCCACTCACAGAAACTGCAAATACTACTCACCTGTCCCTGCTTTCAGGACACCCCAGAAGTCACTGCTCCGCTGGACAAGATTTTGAAGAGCTTAGTGTCTCTGAGAGCCCCTATGAGAGAACCTCTATGGTCTGGCACCTCCTTCTTGTGAAAAGTGAAAGGTGGAGTCTCAACACAT